AAATAAAGATTTAACTTATTAAAAAATACTAAATTTAGAAATATAAATATTTTATTTTGATTATTTATTAAGTTTATTGTTATTAATTAAAATTTTAGATTCATAAAAATTGTAACATTTATCAAAATAATATTTTAAATAATTAATTAGTTATAATATAGTTGTTATTTAATAAATTATTTAAGAGATATAAGAACGATTATATTTACATTAATGTACATAATGTTTCTCAATATCTTTTTTAAATAAAATTTCTTTAAAACTTTATTATCAATGGAATTATTATCAGTCGGCAAATCAACAAAATCTATAATAACTGAATATAATGAATACTAAATACATATCACAGAGAAAAAGAACATAAGGATCTTTTTTTTGTGCAAAATGCAAAACGCCCCCGCGCACTACTGCCCTCTGAAGAAGTGGATATCAAATACATAACAATATTCATTTTTTTGTGATGCTCCTGATGGAAATAAATAGTTTAAATCATTGAAATCTCTATTGATTTGATAGATTTATTTCAATGATAATGATTATTTTCATTATTGCCATAATCGGCATTATACGCGTAAGTTTAAAGAATTTTTGAAACACAGAATAATTTACAGCAATAGTAGTGTTATAAATTAATTTTTTAGCTAAAAAATCAAATAATGATTAACAAGATATGTAATACTTTTAGCTAAAGCTGTATTTAGCGCAAATTGTTTCGCAATATTAAGAAAATTTGCATATGTCTTTATATTGTACATACAATAAAGAATGTATAGAATATTATCCACAACCTTATTTAAGTAAATATCTTAATTAAGTATTATATTTTTATTTAAGTATGAAACATTAAAAAGAATAATTAAAATTGAGACATAATATTGAAATATCAAAAATACCCCACGCGAATAATTATTAATTATGTTTAAAAGAACTATGCAAATAATATAGGATTAATATTTATTCAATTAGTCGTATTTTACATGATTTTGATAAATGAGTATCGTACATTTCGCGTTTTGTTTTGTGGCATCTCTAGCACTTATTCAAGCCTATATTATGATGACTGTGAATATTTTTATGTGATACGTGACAGTTGGATATCCGAAATGTTTGGCGAACAGCGAAGGGTGAAAGCGCGTCACGCGGCGTGATGGTTGATACATCACTTCGGCATTCACTCGGCGATCTTGCAGGGAGACGGCAATGGTACGAGTCGGTTTCAAAAATTTGTTTAAAATATAATTAAGAAATAGATTAGAAGAAATTATTTGAAATAATAAATTCTTAATAACTCTTTTATCTTTTATTAAAAAAATATATTTTAAATAACTTTTTAAAATACAATACCGAGTTCTGTATAGTAGTGTATTCATAATTTATATTACGTAAACAAAATACAATCCAATTAATATTTTATTACGAAATTAATGAAATAATTTCTCATATCAATTATCAATTTTCTCAAAACTTAACAGTTTAGATTTAGTGGCGTGTCATTTAATGTAATACTATAATTATATCGTGGTAGAAGAACATATATATTTGATATTCATTTTATAATTTCAAATATTTTATCCTGATAAAAGGCATGAAGTAAAAATTGATTTTTACTAATGTGATTTTTTTTTTTTTACAAAATTGCTCACGTGAAGTATTTCTGACATCCCAACATTATATCTTAATATTTATGGCTCTCTCTGATGATTTACAATTAAATAAAGATTAATAATAACATTCTTGAGGCTTCCACGGGTGCTTTCTATCTAAAGATTAATAATATTTAAATGTAACAAAAAGCCACAATGCGTCAATCTTTTATTAAAAATATTACGTACATTGCTCGGATTCCGTGTAATAAAAAGTAATTACAAATTAATAATCGCTTATTGTAATATTGAAATATTAAAAATTCTCCGCTCTTCTTTACATTTTTTTTTTAAACATAATCGCGAAAAATGCTAGATATAATATGAAACGTTATACTTTATCAATACTTACAATATACAATTACTAGCTTGCACGATTAATTATTCATATAAAAAGATCGAGATGACAATCATGTATCAATATATTTTGTACGATTCATTCGTTTCTAATCAAAATGCGATGGAAAATAGAATTTATTACTATTTCGCGATATTTAGAGACGACAATTATTTTTGTTTAACGTAAAATTTTCTTTCGCTTGAGTGTAACTCTTGATTATATACTACAAATGATATCACGCAATTCATGCGATTCCTATTATACTTCCATATTTAATAGTTTGTGTAATTAATAATTTGATTAATTTTTCGTTTTCGTGATACGAGCCATATAAAAAAATTGAGCGTAACTTTGCAACTATTTGTCAGTAATAAAAGAAATATTTTTCTTTTCTATTAATCTCTCTAGCTCATTCCATTAACTTTAATCATATCTTACAGACATCGTGATAAGAGATTCAGCCCTTGTATATTACATTTTTCAGATGATATTTTCCCTCTCACAGGTATACCTTGACGTGAGAGGGCTCAGTACCCGGAGGATATATATGAAAAGAACGATTTTTCTCAAATATTTAAAAATTTTTGGATTTATCTAAATGATATATCTAGATAAATTTTTAGAAAAAAAAAAATATATATATGTATATATATGTATATATATTTTTAACAAATTTTTGTCGACTTAGACAATTTTTTCCAAAAAATAATATTTTTAATATTTTTTAAATAATTTTATCGAGAATACATGAATTTAGTTAAAAATGTGTGGCCACAAAAAATTCGATAGATAAATTAAATGGGTACTCTCATATTAGCGGAATATTAATAATTTTTGGAAAATACAAAAAAAATAAAGAATTGCTAAATTTTATATAAATTTTTTAATATAAAAATACATACAACAATATCCATTTTTTTCACTTCTTAATTCAGAGGGCAATAATGGGACATTTTGCAATTATAGGTAAAAAGTCCTTATATCCTTTTTTAGATTTCTCTCTGTATATACTTATAAATTTAGAATTCTGTCTTAGTCTTCTCGATTTGTTGCATTTTCTCATAGTATATATGTTTTGCATGAGAACATTATTAAATAATATTTGCATTTCTTTTTTATATTTTTAGCCTTATTTCTTTAAGGCTTCAATTATTCCAATTTTTAGTTACTATTTTTATATGCATTATTATAAAATTATATTCTGAACACGTCACGATATAAGACAAAACAAATATATGTAACATGGGATGATATTGAAGACCGCAAATATGTGTTACCTACCGGACATATTCGTGGCTACATACTTCATCGTGCACATTTATGCACATAGAGGCGCCAGTAAACGGATTCTATCTTACATATATGTCCATTTCTCTCTGAACATACTCTATACTTCACATTTTTTACATTTTAAATCAATAATCATGGCATCACGAATGTTATTTATCCTTAATCGATCAACAATTTGCATTTGTTACATTATCAATTTTTTAAAATATATATATATTTTTTATAAATCGATAAAAATAATATGTAATATTGACAATTGATAAGTTGTAATTGAAATGAATGTATTAAAAACTTTATTTGGCGATAATTTAAATTGCAAATTTGTTATAGAATATAATATACAGATAATTCTAAATTTATGTTGTAAATATTACACAATATTTGATTAAATTTTAATTAACATTTTATAAATTTGGGATTGTTGTAAACTTATTAATAATTAAATCAAAACAATGTATTCTATACTTTTATATATTTATAGTATTTTTAGATTATTATTTTGTAGATATTGAAATAATTTTTTGTATACGATATTATTATCTATTAATTATCATTATTAAAAAATAAATTTTATTTATTATTTTTTAATAATATTTATACTTATTTTAACAGTTATAGTACGTATATTCTATGCACTATATTTTAATTTATTTGCCAATTTTATGTTTTGAAACTTTACTGAGTTCAACACATACAATTTTAATTTTAAGTATACAATTTTTTTTAAAAAGCGACGTATATGTACAATTTAATATATATTAATTTACTATGATTATAATATTGCTACCATATATATATCTTTCCTAATCTTTCAATTTACATTTTTTAAATAAAATGTATTGGAATAATTTTATTTAAATTCTTCAACTACATTCTTCTTTTGTTTCAACAAAAACAACCGATTTAAAAAATGTCAAAGAATGTCAGAATGAAACGTTTGACTGTACTTTGTGGCAGAAATAAATTAAATATGATTCCAGCTATGTTTTCATCAAGATTTCATAAGTAAACCATAATTGATAGTTTGCTAACATTGCATGGCATAACGTTGGTATAAGCCATAGTTCGGCATAAAAGTGATAGTGCATGACTTCATGTAAGTAAGATATGCATTTTAAAATTATTGCGTATGCGAAAATATGGTTTTGCGTGGGGACGCAAAATTGCAAGTTTTGTACTACACTAATGACATAGTTGAATGCATAGACGGAAGTTGCAGATGAAAAATTGAGTTGTGAAGCTATAGACTCTTTTGTGATCGTCAATAAAATCTTCTTATTTTATTTTGGCGCAAAGAATATATTTGTTGTATTATTGTAGTGCTCAATATACATAGGTACATATATGTGTATTTTTTAAGCACCGATAATCCAAAGACACTGAATTAAAATTTATCTTTAATTTATAGTTAATTTCTTTGTAACAAAAATTAAATATAATTATTCCATAATTATTTAATATACATATGTATATAATTTGTTAACTAAGAATTATGTATTTGTAAATTATAATGAACATTATAATTTAAGAAACAAAAAATTTTTTCTATAATATTGAAAGTAATCAAAAAAGAAATAAAGAAGTTATATTGTATGATTTAAATAATATGGGAACGTTCTGTATTAATTGTATAATAAAATTATTTTATTGTATTTTTATCAAATATTACAAATAAAAAAGAAATGAACGTTTTGACGTTTACATTTAAAATTCTTACTATTTGTGGATGTTGGCCACCAAATTCATGGACGACACGATACAAACGTATAATGTATGATGTATATACGGTCCTCATAGTTTTGTTAATAAATACATTTACATTATCGCAATTGATGGATTTAATTCTGACTGTGGACAATGCCGATGATTTCTCCGAGAATTTCTATGTGATGCTTGCTATGTTCGTATCATGCTGTAAGATGTTCAGTTTATTGAGAAATCGTAACAACATTGCGATGCTGATTGATATTCTGATGAAAAAACCATGTAGGCCTACTGAACATGATGAAATAGAAATTCGACAGAAATTTGATAAGATTGTACTGTAAGTATTTTAAAATAATTAATAATTTAATTATTGTTAAATATAACATATTTTAAAACATGTTACATTTTATTACATGTTATAAAGAATCTCTTCATTATATTACAAATATTATAAAAAGAAAATAATAATGACGTAAAATATTGTATAGTATATGTTACATACTTATATAGACATTAAATAAAACATATACTATAAAGGAAAGTCGCCAATATTGACATAGGTTTTCTAAAGTTTTCTAAACACCTCCTTATTTCTCAGAAACTAAATGGGTGGATATAACAGAGCAATAGGAGTCAAGCAAGTAATTCTTGTGCAAACTAATATGGTTAACAAAACAACTTTAGTAATAATTAAAATAATAATAAAAGAGACAATATAATATTGTAATTACAAAAAAATTTTTTTATAAATTAATTCGAAGTTCTGAAACGAATTAGTTTGTAAAAAAATTTTTTGTAATTACAACATCATATTTGAGGATGGCTCAAAAATGAGTCGAAATATGTAAGCGGATTAATTATTATTAAAATATATTTATATTCATTTGTAGATCTTTTATACAGATAATTTCGACAAAAGAAAAAGAATAGGAATATGTGGCACGGTATCAGTTTTGGAGCTCATTTTTTTTAGACGCTCATTTTTGTTTATCTTATGAAAAAAATAATTATTGCAAAATTACAACAGTATTATAAAAACTGCTTTTACTATCTGATGGAAGACACTTTTTAGTTTGTATTTGTTTTTAAAGTTTTATTTTTATCTTTTGTTTAAGAAATATTGTCTAAAAACAAAGTGGTATGTCGGTGACTTTCCTCTACTTTTATAAATTGATTTATTTAAAGATTAATTTTACATGACGTTAAATTAAAATGTTATGATTCAATAATAAATTAACATTAATGAAGGAAGAAACGAGGAAAATTCGAAAATATATATTTACAGAACAAACACGCTTTGCTACGCGACTTTAGTGGAACTAACATGTGCGTTTGCATTAGGAACATCTGTGTTTAAAGATTACAGAAAACACAATCTAGCTTTCCGAGCATGGTTACCATTTAACTATTCTTCGCCAATGTTATTTCGGATCGCTTACTTTCATCAATCGATAAGTTTAACCGCTGGATCGATCCTTCACCTTGCTTGCGATAGTCTAATTTGCGGATTACTGATGCACATTTGCTCCCAGTTGGAAATATTGGAATGTCGCTTAAAAAAAACTATTAATAAGCCACATATTTTTCGGGAATGTGTCATACAGCATACATGCATTTTCGAGTTAGTTCTTTTTTTATCATTATAGATAATAATTTCTCAAAATATAAATAATTATAAAAAATATTTGAAATTTACGTCCGATTGATTCTAGATTTGCATTAATAGTAAATGAAAAATTTAGATTAACAATCACCGTCCAGTTCTTAGTGAGTATGTTAGTAGTATGCTTCAATCTGCATCAATTGACGCAGACGAGTGTGTTAAGTGCGAAATATGTTCAAATAGTATTATATATGTTTTGCATGCTGACACAAATCTCTTTTTATTGCTGGTATGGAAACGAAGTTAAGTTGAAGGTGTGCACGGATATATTTTTTACATATTTTTTATTTTTTTTCTTTATATTGTATGTTTATTTATTTATGTTTGCATATACTTTAATATCTAATATGTCAATAGTGCGTGATAAATATGATGTTAAATTATTGTGTTATAAAAATTAATTTATATTTCATACATATAAAATAAAATATATGAGAAAGAGACAGACAGACAGACAGATAGAGAGAGAGAGAGAGAGAGAGAGAGAGAGAGACGGGAGAGAAAATAGAAATACTTACATTTTGAATTAGGTTACACATTTTCCATTTTATCATATTTTTTATCCATATAAATCAATCTATAAGAAAAATATAAGATTTGATCTCTCTGTTTTATTTTATAATTAAAATTTTAGAACTTAATAAACAAAACTTTTTGTATATATTTTTAAATATAGAGTCGGCAAATGGTCAATAATATATTCGAAATGCAATGGTTTGTGTTGGATTATCATGTGCAAAAAGATTTGTCAATAATTATGATGCGTAGTATCGTACCTATTGAGTTCACCAGTGCTTATGTTATCTCAATGAATCTTCAATCATTTGTTAGTGTTAGTATAAATCTTTATTTTTAATCTAAAATTAATAATTGATTTTAAATTAATAGTTAAAGGAAAGTGATTTTCGAGCGATTTGGACGGAATCATTGAATTCAATTTTTTCAAAATTCGATTTTATTCACTAAATCAGAAAATCACAGTTCAAAATGTTTTTTCTTATTTAAAAAAAATGTTTCAAGTAAAATTTATATGATTTAAAATAGTACAAATAATAGTAATTAATTAAAAAAAAAATCATTTTTTAAAAATTATATAATAATTATTGACATTTTTAAAATAAAATTATATATTTTTTACATGATTTTTTCTAGTTTTCTGCATATTAAAGAAATTTTATATGATGTACATTTTATTAGAAAAAAAATTATTAATTTGTATAGAAGTTCGTGATAAGCAAATAATTATATTTATTGCAGTTGCTCAAGACGTCGTATTCTGCTTTCAATATACTTCAACAAATGCGATAATAAAGTAGTAAGAAAAGTAGAAGAAAATCAATATTTATATTTTGTATTTATATCAATTTTAATTTCTGTATAAAACAAATGTATAGAAATAAAACTTAAGTTAGATTATTGTAATCAATATCTTTATGTATTAAATAAGATTGTACTAAATAAGATACTATACAAAGCGATATCTCAAAAGCTATACAATATTTTCTCTTATTGACACTATTAATTAGGTAATATCTTCTTAATGCATATTTTTTCAATTTACAATATGATTACTCTGATATTAATATGAGAAATTGTATTAAGCAATTTTTATGGTCTACTGGGAAAAAAGTTAACATTTAAAGTTATCATTTGATTATTCGATAGTACTTTATGTACTTCCATCAATTATTAATAGGCTCGCTTATTGGAGCTATGCTGCATAAAAAATTGATTTAACGTTATTACTTGAATTGTATATTTTTTCTATAGTATTTTTACTTACGATGTCCATATATATAAAATATTTACATATTATTTTATATTAACGTGTGTCTATACAAGATTGTGGTTTACTGCAGTGTGATAGAATATTAAAGTATTTGACTGGATGGAACACAACTGAATGTACGATATATGAACATTGCATTATTCATTGCATAATTTTCAATTTCTGTTTTTTTATTCTTCGATTAGAACTTATAGTTCTTATACATATTTTAACAAAGTATTTTTCGTATAAAATATCATTATATCATGACTTCATATACAATATCACATTTTTATTTAATGATTGCACTGTCTTTGCATGAAAATATTATTACACAAAGGGCACAATTACAGTCTAAATAATAAAAATTCTTGTACGAGAGAGGAAGTTGAACATATATCATATTATTATCGGAAAACTGCGAGAGTCTTTTTACAAGAGACTATAGACATTTGGTGATTGTCAGTCTCTCAAGATTTTACTGTGCATTGCAATATCATTATAATATTAACTTTGTCACTACAGTATAGCCATTTTTAACGAAATTAATTGACAATTAGTTTTTAGTAACATGTTATTTGTTTGATAAATTAATTTATAATAAATAATTATATAACGCACAATAGAAAATGTAAAATTTTTGATAAATTACATCTTTGTTGTAAAAAACAACTTTTTAAAACAAAAAGATAGACAAAATCAAAGTTAAAATGAGTTTATTAGAATTTACATTTAAAATTTTATCAAGTTGCGGTTGTTGGATACCGAATTCTTGGATGTCTCCACATCGACGATTAATATATCATGTGTATACTATTTTTATACTTTTACTGGTAAATACATTTACATTGTCGCAATTCTTGGATATAATTCTGATCGTTGACAATTCGGAAGATTTCATGGATAACTTTTACATGCTGCTTGCCATGATCGTTTCTTGTTTCAAAATGTTTAGTCTGTTAATAAATCGTAATAATATCGCCATGCTTACAAATATTCTTATCAATAAACCGTGCAAAGCATGTGATACAGTGGAAATAGAAATACAACATAAATACGATAAGCTAATTGAGTAAGTACATTGCAAGACAATCATTTTGTATTTATATTTCACATTTAATTATATACTAAAGAATTAAACAATTTATATTTTTTTAAGAAATTGATATAAGATTTGATTAAAATGTATAATATAATATTTTATTAATTTTTTTTATTAAAGAATATTATTTTTCAACAGTATTATTTTTTGTATTTTCTTAGAAATTTTGTAATTTTGTAACTTTCTTATAATAATACATTTCTTTTGTAACAAACAGTTGATATGGAATGTATATTGTTTCTTATCAAAATTATTGTTTAAAGAATTAAAGTTGTGTATCACTAACTTTCCAATTTGAAAAATTAACAGATTTATTTAACTAGAAGTTATCTTGATAAAAAGTATGAAAGAGAGATTATCATTAAAGAAAGCGTTGAATATCAAAATGAAATGCATGCAGCTGTTTTACAGGACAAATACTCTGTATTATATGATCCTAGTTGAATTAACGTGTGCATCCACGGCTGTAGCATCTTTACTCACGGATTACAAAAAAGAAAAGTTAACGTTCAGAGCGTGGCTGCCATTTGATTATTCCTCGACAATGCTTTTTAATTTTACGTATTTTCATCAATTAATAAGTTTGACAGTTGGATCTGTCTTACATGTTGCTTGCGATGGTCTTATTTGCGGATTATTGTTGCATATATGTTGTCAACTAGAAATATTAAGTTGTCGTTTGAAAAATATTGTACATAATCCAAAAGTACTTCACGATTGTGTTATTCAACACAATCTTTTATTTAAGTTCGTTTTATTATAGTTTTTCTTTAAATATTTTTTTTTAATATACATAAACAATTTGAATAAAAATGTCTCTCTATCTGAATAAAATTTTTTTATTTTTTTAAACTGTTCAAAATTTTTAATTTCTTTGTACATGTAGATCAAAGATTTTTATACATTGTAACTTTTAATTTTTATATTTTTTAAATATTTCCATCAATGATAAAATATGTTAAAATGTGTTCAATTGATTTCAGATTTGCGTTTCTATTGAACAAAAAATTTAGGTTTACTATCACTTTTCAGTTCATAGTAAGTACATTAGTGGTATGCTTTACTTTATATCAACTAACCAAGACAAGCGGAAAATTCGTTGAATTAGGAATGTACATGTCGTGCATGCTGATACAAATCTTTTTGTATTGTTGGTACGCAAATGAAGTAAAATTGAAGGTAATATACACTTTTTTTTAGAATGGATATCTCCCTATGTTAATGTTTCTAATTTAGTTTTTATTTATTAATTTTTTATTTTTTTATATTATCTAGATATAATATATATTGACAAATATACATATAATGTACACATTTTATTTATACTAAAGTATAAAATGCTTTTTAAAGTGCACAAAAATTCATATGCAATTTGCGTATTAAAAATAAAAAAATCTTTTTTTGTTATAATTAAGACCTTAATAAATAATCATTTTTATAAATAGAGTCTACAATTAGTCAATGATCTATTTGAAATAGAATGGCTTACATTAAGGCAAGATATAAAAAAGGATTTATTAACAATTGCATTACGTAGTAGAATGCCAATCGAATTCAGTAGTGCTTATATTATACCTATGAATTTGGATTCGTTTGTGGGTGTTAGTATAAATAATTAATTTTACGATTAATTTATATTATGATAATTATTTTATGATAGTTAAAAAATGTCTATTTACTTTTAAAATATAAATATCAAATTATTAAATAAATTTTGTACTTATTGAAACACAAAATGACTTTGTACGTTGCAGTTGCTTAAGACATCGTATTCGACCTACAACATACTTCAGCAAACGCAAAATGACGAAGTTAACTAGGAAAATTGATATACATATTCGTTGTTATATATACATCATATAGATTTTTCATGAAAATAAAATAGGAGAATTAAAATAAATAAATATTTCATTCAATATTAATAATTGATTATCATATACATATAATTAATTTTCATATAGTTAATCTTAATATATTAATGTTATTAGAGAAAAGAAATACAATTTAACTAGCATATTGTTTGTATTATTAGGTGTTGGAATTAATTCGTAGCGTTTTACAAGTGATGGGAAGTACTTTCATTAATGTATTTTTTAATGCTCATGTGAAATAAATAATATTCTTTCATTAAAAAACGCTACGAATTAATTCCAACACCTAATAGATATACAGAATGTTTCAGACCCATACACACAATCACTTTCTTTTATTTTAAAAGGATATACAAGAGGTCTGGAACTTGTGTAATTTTTTATTAAATACTCTGCAACAATTTTTTACTTATGTTTTGCATTCGTATTTGTATTATCTAATTAGTATTTTGCGCTCCTTTATTTAAGAAATGATACAGCTCAAGAAATGATCAAGATTTTTGGATTGTTATCATAAATGAGTTCAAGTATAACATTACTTTGTTGATCATCAAAAACTAATATAACTGTATAAAAAATCAATTCAAATAGAGTTATATTTTAAAGATGATTTTTTTAAGGGTTGTGATATGAAAATGACATTTGATTATGATAAAAACATATTCTTTCTCTCTCTGTAGCGATATGATTGATTAATCAATAAATTTTTGTTACAAATAATTTTTCCGTTTTCTAAAAAATTTAAATTTTTAAGCTTTCGAAGTAGTGCGGGTTTTTACAATGTTTGTTATAGAATATTCGCATTATCGTCATAAAAATCAATATAAAGCTGTAAAATTGATTACCAGTTACATTACGATTTGATAAATTATTTCTCGATTTTTGTTTTGTTTTGTAGCTCTGCTTCCTAATACTTTATTTCTCATTAAGTACTATTATGTCAAGATATAATATTGAGTGATCTTCTCTATATTCTATTACCAGAAGAAAACTACATAGGGCAGAATGGGTGGGATGCATGAAAATATTATTATCTGTAGGGCATAGCAGTAATCTGAATAATGAAAATTGTACAACACATACGAAAGGGGGAGTTAGGCAAAGCAGTTGTCCTTAGACCGTAAAGCTATAGAAGACGTAAGGCTACGGTCGTCAGTTTTTCTCAAGAGCTCTGTGTATCATATGTTCTAAGAAAATATTTTTATTATAATATTATCTGTATTGAAAATGTGTTGAATTAAAATTTATTATAGCAATATCAATATTTATTATAGCATATCAATTTATTGTACGAATATTTTCGAGCACATTTTTAAGTAATTATTATATATTGCAAGATATATATTTAAGATTTTACGTTTCAATATTTAAAATAAGGAAATTAAAAAGAGAATATTATACAAAATATAATATACATAAAAGAGAATATTATACAAACTTTAAGAAATGATTTACAAGCATACGCTTTATTTGAAGGACAGACAATGATATTTGCAACAGAAATAAATTAGAAATTAAAGATGCAAGTATTAAATTTTACGTTTAGAATATTAATGATTTGCGGATGCTGGATACCAGATTCTTGCACAACACCATGCAAACGGTTAGTTTATCATTTCTATACTATTTTGATATTGCTACTTATACATACATTTATGCTATCGCAATTGATGGATTTAATTTTAACCGTGGACAATCCCGACGATTTTACTGACAATTTTTACATGCTACTCGCAATGGTTGTTTCCTGTTGCAAGATGTTCACTCTGTTAATGAATCGCAGTAACATTGCGATACTAATTGATATTCTTGTAAGGAAACCCTGTAAACCGATCCAGTCCGACGAAATCAAAATTCAGCAGAAGTTCGATAAACATGTACAGTGAGTACTATTATGTAACAATTCTCTTAGATGTATAAAATCTTTTTTTTTTTAATAAACTATAATTAAAAGTGCATATTACGTTTAATCCTTAACGATTTTTCGATATATTATACTCAACTTTTTTTATTTTCCATTGCTTATAATTTTTTTTAGTAAAAAAATATGTATCTTTAATACTATTATATTTCTTAATATCTAGCGTTTAAATTAAATTTTCTATTATACAATATATTTTATGAGAATTATATATATGAGCATTCGAATTGAGCTGTGTATGTACTTGTGTTTTCCTGATTAAAAATTGATCTCATGTATTTTTCTATTGAGTTACAGTTAAAATTTAATTAATTCTTTGAAATATTTTAAATCAAGTTTATAAATCAAATAAAAAAATTTAATTAATTTTCAACTAATTTGTAGCATTTAAATTTTTAGAATATTTAAATATTCAATGTATGTAAATAAATTTATATTTTTACATGTAATCATAATTGGGATTCTAATGATTACAATAATTTTTGGTAAATGATTAAATTTATAACTTTTTTTAATATATCTCTATACATACATACATTAATTAATATAAATTATTTATTAAAACTGGCGATGTATATTATGCTAATGTTTTGATGTTACTAATATATGATTAGGAAGAAATATTACAAGTTGCATAGTTAAAGTTTAAGTAAAAATCTTAAAATAAAATGGAAAAATCTCTATAAATAGACATTTTGCAGGACAAATACGCTTTTCTATGCAGTTTGGGTTGAAACAACATGTCTGTGCATAGCTGTGACATCATTGCTAACAGAATTCAGAAAAGGAAGATTAACATTCAGGGCATGGTTACCGTTCGATTATTCTTCGTCGTCACTGTTTCATATTGTATATATGCATCAGTTGATAAGTTTGACAGCTGGATCTATTCTCCATGTTGCTTGCGACGGTCTACTATGTGGATTACTGATGCACGTTTGCTGTCAGATAGAAATAATTGAATGCCGTTTGCAAAAAGTCGCACATGATCAAGATATTCTTCGCAAATCCGTCCTGCAGCATAATTATGTATTCAAGTTGGTTTTATGCAACTAATATTACATATAATAAATATTTTAAATTTACCCTGATATATTACATTGTATTGCTATTTATATTACTCAAAGAGAAGGAATGAAGTGTTTTCATACTTTTGACAATATTAAATATATATATTTTTTAAATATATTTTTAGAAAATATACTTTAACTATTAATTTATTTAGTTTATCTTTATTTTTCTCAAAA